ATCAAAAATTGAATACCCTAGTATCACTATTAAACAATCATTTGACTATAATTTTATTCATTCATACTTTGCGAAATAACTCTAATTTACTTAGGTTTTTTTTAATAACAATTCATGTAATCCTCCCAAATCCATCCAAAAAATATTTTATTAATGTGATAACAAAAAAAAAGAAAAAAAGAAATACATCTTTATATATTCATTATTTTCTAAAATTCTGGATATTCTATTATTGTATTTTACTATCTAACCATTGACAGAAAAGGGACAGTGTGCTTGAGGGCAGAACACAACCAAGTTTTAAAGAATGATGAGAATATAATTCAGGCGCTTGAGAAGAAAAGCAGGAACAGCTTTTAAAAGAACCTGAAATGCAATAATAAGAATAATAATTTAAAAATTCAGCCGATGCTTACACTTATTAAAAGATCTTGGGAAACCACCATCCTGATCAATCAGTGTGGACAAAAGTTGACCCCTTTCAAACATGACCTCAGCTTGGCTGGGACTCAACCAGGTTTCTTTGTCTCTTTATTGTGATCGAACTGCCTGCTTGTTAAATAAAAGGTACTCTTGAAAAAAGGGAAAAAAATGATAAGTGGCAATGGCAGGCAAGAAGGAAGAGGGAGAGCGTTTATGGTTTTGCTCCAGAAATTATTCTATTTCACTCATGTTGGTACATGACTGTCTGTTGGCCCAGCAGATGAAGCCGTGAAATGAACAGGAAGGAGAAGATGCTGAATAAAAGGATAGAAATGGAGCTTTTAAAGGACATGCTGGAGAGGTCAATCCTAAAGTGAACCTGGCTGAGTGTCAGAGTATATTCATGAACTGGAATAGAGCATGGTAACAAGGTCAGCCAATGAATAGGCATAGCAACTAAGTCACCCAATGAGGAATGTTTGGAAACTGAAACTAGAAGTAGCCTAGGCGTGGCTCTGTATTAAGCTCTGAAGCTGTGTTGAACTCTGTCTGTCTATTGAAAATGAAATTGCTTCTCTCTTCTGCTGTGTGTCTTGCTTGCGTGCTGAACTAAAGTGAAACTGATGTCTGTTTCTGTTTGAGTTTGCTCCATATTGGAAAAATCTACAACTGGTATTGTAAAATTTACTAGATGTGTTTATAAAGAAGTTAAATGAAGCCTCAGCCATCTGTGTTTACTTTTCTGGTGCTGAACTTACTCTGCAATACTTTGAATGCTGACTGTGATGACCCGTAGTCTCTCAAAATAACCCAAAACCCAACAAATACATTAAAGTCCGGTAAGGCCTTCAACTTAACTTCACTGTTTTATTAGGCACAGTTTAAAGTCACAAAAGTAAATAATGAGGCAAAAAGAAAACCAAAACAAACTGCATTGACCAGAGTTCCAAAGCAAGCCAAGATAACTAATCATAAACTCCAGGAAAATAACCAAGGAGAGTCCATGAACGCCACCAAAGATAAACCTCTTTCAAGGTGAACACTAAATTGACTCCTGCAAATTCTAACTGTGCAGTTGCAAACTTATATACATAGCTCCCACCTGCAAGCCACGAGTAATCTCCTCTTGAGTAGACCTCGCTTTTCCTTGATCCTTTCCTTCCTGCGTACCCTAGGATGGATAGGGGATGGACCTGGATCCTCCTCTGATTGCTCAGCCGGCCTCTGCCTTTCCCCAGCCTCCTCCTCCACCTCTGACACCACACTCCGACTCCCTGTTGGCTGTTCCTCCTCTTCCTCAGAGTCAGTTTCCACCAGGGGCATGACACTGACGCCATCTTGGAGGCCCATTTTTCACCCCTCCCTGAGCCTCTATACTTACCTGAGATCCAAAACAGCCCACGTGGGGACTCCTGGGAGAGGTGCGGTGGGGTGGGCAGGGGTGGGATTTGCAGATTCACAGAACTGGCCATAAAATTAGCAACCAGTTCACCTGAACCAGTGCGAACCACTAGCAACCCATCCTCTGATGATAACAGAGAATTTGGAGCCTTGTACTATCCTAATAGCCTAAATCTAGATTGGTGGTAAGAGCTATCTAAACAGGGCAACATTTATGCAAACTTTACCTATATATATAAGCAAACTTTACCTCATAAGTTATGTAATTTACAATTCTTAACTTACTAATGTCTTATGTCCAATTGATTGCCTTGCTACTTTTCTAACTGTGTCCAATACTGGATCTAAGCCTTTTTTATATTTGAGGGATAAACAATATATGCAATTGACAGAGCTGAATTAGCATGCGAGTTTTAATTTCACAAAGGAGTAATTCAATTTTCCACCCTTTGAATTTCTACACCGCCTGGAACACTTGGTTGTATTTCAAGTATTTATCAGGTTTATTTCCTACAAAGCCCCTTTCTCTCTATCTGACAGATGTATGGATCATCACATTTAATAACCTGGGGCATACATCATATTTAATATTCCAGTTTCAGCAAAACTGAGGGAATTACAGAATCGTAAATAACAGAAATTTTGGGTTCAAATGTGGTTGTTGTTGTGGCCTGCTGGTGGCTAGCAGAGCTGGCAGCAGAGTCGGATAGTGAGGAGGTTGGGGAGGAACATGGGCCAGTCCTGGAGGCTGAGGAAGGCTTGGATGAGGGCTCTGCATCAGAGGCAGAAGATGGGGCCGGGGCAGTTGGACAGCAGTGAGGCGAGGGAGCAGCTTCCCAGCCTGCGCATGCTCAGAGCTGCCAAAAGAAAAGAAAAATTTACAATATAAGGGTCGGCGTGGGAGTAAGGCCACAGGTAGATGGTGCATGGCCCCTCCCATATGGATTAAAAGAGGAGCAAAAGGGGAGGGGGCTTTTGCAGGAAACAGTTCGTTCGTTGCAGAAGTGTGAAGATCTGACTGTGCATCTCAGAGACTCTGCGCTGAGTCCTTCCTTGTCAGCACTGCGTTTGGAAATATTTACTTGGCAGGTCTCCAAGCTAGATAAGGTCTGTGCTCCTAATTATACCCTTGAAAGATTGTTTACTAGGCCTTTGGCTGAAGGTGAATACAAGAAATTCACCTTTGTTTAATAAAAGGAGTTTTGCCGGGACAAAAAGTCTGCTTAGTGCTTTTTGAAGAAGCCGAGGTGAGAATAGTTGTAAGTCCAGGACTACTTGTATATAAATGTTTTTAAAAGATACATTAAGGAAATAATTAACCCACTCATGTAATGTTTGGTTTGGGTTATGTTCCTCCAGCTGTCTACAGGTGAAACTCGAAAAATTAGAATATCGCGCAAAAGTTTATGTATTTCAGTAATGCAACGTAAAAGGTGAAACTAATATATGAGATAGACTCATTACATGCAAAGCAAGATAGTTCAAGCCGTGATTTGTCATAATTGTGATGATGGTGGCTTACAGCTCATGAAAACCCCAAATCCACAGTCTCAGAAAATCAGAATATTAGAATATTACATATTACATCAATAAAACAAGGATTGTACACAGAACAATATCGAACCCCTGAAAAGTATAAGCATGCATATGTACTCAATACTTGGTTTGGGCCCCTTTTGCAGCAATTACTGCGTCAATGCGGCGTGGCATGGAAGCTATCAGCCTGTGGCAATGCTGAGGTGTTATGGAAGACCAGGATGCTTCAATAGTGGCCTTCAGCTCTTCTGCATTGTTCGGTCTCATCATCTCTCATCTTTCTCTTCGCAATGCCCCATAGATTCTCTATGGGGTTCAGGTCAGGTGAGTTAGCTGGCCAATCAAGCACAGTAATCCCATGGTTATTGAACCAGGTTTTGGTGCTTTTGGCAGTGTGGGCAGGTGCCAAGTCCTGCTGGAAAATGAAGTCAGCATCCCCATAAAGCTTGTCTGCGGAAGGAAGCATGAAGTGCTCCAAAATCTCCTGGTAGACGGCTGTGTTGACCCTGGACTTAATGAAGCACAGTGGACCAACACCAGCAGATGACATGGCTCCCCAAATCAACACAGACTGTGGAAACCTCACACTGGACTTTAAGCATCTTGCAGTGTGTGCCTCTCCATTCTTCCTCCAGACTCTGGGTCCTTGTTTTCCAAATGAGATGCAAAAGTTGCTCTCATCAGAAAAGAGGACTTTGGACCACTGAGCAACAGACCAGGTCTGTTTTTCTTTAGCCCAGGTAAGATGCTTCTGATGTTGTTTGTTGTTCAGGAGTGGCTTGACAAGAGGAATACGACATTTGAAGCCCATGTCCAGGATCCGTCTGTGTGTGGTGGCTCTTGATGCACTGACTCCAGCCTCAGTCCAGTCCTTGTGAAAGTCCCCAACACTTTTGAATGGCCTTTTCCTGACAATCCTCTCCAGGCTGCAGTCATCCCTGCTGCTTGTGCACCTTTTTCTTCCACACTTTTCCCTTCCACATAACTTTCTATTAATGTGCTTTGATACAGCACTTTGGGAACATCCCACTTCTTTTGCAATTACCTTTTGAGGCTTTCCCTCCTTATGGAGGGTGTCAGTGATGGTTTTCTGCACAACTGTCAGATCAGCAGTCTTTCCCATGATTGTGATTCCTACTGAACCAGACTGAGAGACCATTTAAAGACTCAGGAACCCTTTGCAGGTGTTATGGCTTAATTAGCTGATTAGAGTGGGACACTTTGAGCCTAGCATGTTGAACCTTTTCACAATATTCTAATTTTCTGAGATTGTGGATTTGGGGTTTTCATGAGCTTTAAGCCATCATCATCACAATTATGACACATCACAGCTTGAACTATCTTGCTCTGCATGTAATGAGTCTATCTCATATATTAGTTTCACCTTTTAAGTTGCATTACTGAAATAAATGACCTTTTGCACAATATTCTGATTTTTTTTGAGTTTCACCTGTCGTAGTCCCCTCAGATCATGGTGTCCCTCCTACGTGTCTCTCTCTTTTAGCTTTTGAATCCCACCGTTCTAATCCTACAGTTTTGGTTCTTCTCCTCAGCAAAGCCCCAAGACACCTTTCTCCGACCTGGCTGATGATGAGAAGATCTTCGGCGGTGAAGACGGCTCACAGCTGGAAGAGAGCCAGGAAAATGCCCTGCTGTCCGAGATCACAGAAGAGGACCTAGAAGTGATCCGTCAACGGGAAGAAGCTCTCCAGCAGATTGAGGTCAGTAATAATTATAAGAAAGCTGGAAATCTCCAAGCCAATTCAAATTCAGAATAGAGCTGGAAGGAACCTTGGAGGTCTTCTAATGCTTGCTCAAGCTGGAGGCCCTGCACCATTTCAGATAAATGGCTGTCCGGTCTCTTCTTCAAAACCTCAAGTGATGGAGCATTTATAACTTCTGGAGGCAAGTCGTTCCACTGATTCTGTCGGAAAATTTCTCCTTTGCTCTAGGTTGCTTCTCTCCTTGATTGGTTTCCATCCATTTTTTCTTGTTCTGCCTTCTGGTGCTTTGGAAAATAGGTTGACCCCCCACTTCTTTGTGGCAGCCCCTGAGATATTGGAACACTGCTAACATGTCACCCCAGTCCTTCTTTTCCCTGGACATACCCAAATCCTACAATTGTCCTTCATATGTTTTAATCTTTCTTTTCTTTCTTTCTTTCTTTCTTTCTTTCTTTCTTTCTTTCTTTCTTT